TCCAGCAATTCCAATCCCCAAACTACACTGACTTAGTGTTTGTTTCAAATTTTTATTAAATTTTTTTTTTTCTTAACGCATGTTACTGGTAAGCTTGTAAACAATTCATTCATGCATATATATATATATATATATATATGCACAAAATTTTTTGACGAGTGATATGGCTCACTTTTCTCTGAACATGTGCAGGCTGCACTGCGCTTAAAGGGATAGTTCACCCAAAAATGAAAATTCTGTCATCATTTACTCACCCTCATGTCGTTCCAAACCTGTATGTAAATTTTGAAGATTGCTGGTAATCAAACAGTTGGTGGTTGCCATTGACTTCCACAGTAGGAAAAAAAATACTATGGAAGTCAATGGCAACCACCAACTGTTTGATTACCAGCAATCTTCAAAATATCTTCGTTTGTGTTCAACATAAGAAAGCAACTCATTCAGGTTTGGAATGACAAACGAATTTTAATTTTTGAGTGAACTATCCCTTTAAGACAACCGCATTTAGAACTCTATTTCGGTACGCAACTCACACTTTTCACGATTTGGATGAAATTCAAAAAAGTCTTGCCCAATATTTTTTGTTTGATCGCGACTTCTGTTTCACGCTGACGCAACTGTCATTACATTTATCTTGCATGCGCCATCTTTTTTGAATTTGTGATTTTTCCATTTTATTTGATTTCCTTTACATTATCCTTATTGGTACTGACTTATCGGTCATTCAAACACCATATGTACTAAGTATGCACATATCTTAGAGAACAGGAACTCGAGCTATAGAACCTCACCCAAAAACACACATTCCTCTCACAGCTGATACAAGAAACAGAGATTAAGACAACAGCGGGTCTATAAAGCTGATGGTGCTCAGATCACATGCAGAAACAACATAAACAGGGGTGTGAATCTGGAGAAACAAGCGCTTCAGAAGAAGTGCTGCCTTCAGAAATGTTCAAATTTCCACTTCTGAAGTCGTAATTACAAGTTGGTCATGTTGATCCCGAAAGAACAGGGATCATGGAGGACACCAGGTTCACTTTATATATGTTTTATACATATAGTGTCCCATTCGATGACATCCATATAAACATTACATGTGCTATTATATGCATTATACCACGCTATCGAAATTTGAAACTTCCACATCATTGCATTCTGTTTTTAGTCACAATTTGTACAGTGTCCCAACTTTTTTGGAATCGGGTTTGTAGAAGCTTGCTAACGCTTCTGGACTTTCAAGCAAATAAAAGCTGTTCTCACTGTGTAAAATACATACAATATGCATCAAATGGTTATTTAAATATGTAAACTGACATAATTGTAATGGTAACAAAAAAGCAATGTAGATGTTGTGGAAAATTCAAATTAACGGTCACTCCTCGCTACTGTGATACTGGCCTGCTCAACTTTGAAACTCTGCCCAACATGGCTGCAATATAACAAAGAGTGAAAAATTTAAGGTGGTCTGAATACTTTCCGTACCCACTGTAAATATGTCTTGAGAGGCCATTCATGTCTATTCATGTTCATGTATTTCTGATAACTCTGACAGCACATGAAGGCAGCATAAAGCCACATTCCAAATAGATCAGTGATCCTTTCCTTGGTTCCATTTCCTCCAAGAGGTTCCATCTCTCCTTGGAGAACAGAATTAGGAGGAATTAGTGTGGCAGGCGAGGTTTTTTTGGCATTTTTGGAACAGCCGTGAATGTCTAAGGGGTTTCACGTCAAATCACATCAAGGCAAGAATGAGTGACAGCTGCTCTCTGTTAACACTGCTGCTCGCTATTCGGCCAGATGCCTAAACGAATAGTCGATCCACTTTTTTTCTGAACAAGTCAATTGTGATTTAAATTATGGGAGGCACTTCCAGTTATAGGGAATGTCCACTCAAAATAACTGAAACAAATCATTAGAAATAATAAGGTTCCACTACAAATAATCCTTTACTGTCTGACTGAATGAGCTGTACATTTTCTATCATGCTGTGTAGTTATTCCTCAGGAAAATAATATAACACTTGGTATTTTAATGTGACATTGGTATCAGAATATCCATGACAAAAACTAGCTGTGTTCTGTTCTTCCTGATTATTATTTTTTCTTGTATTTCACTGTATCTGTTCATTAGTTGTAGTCTGCTCTCCTGTTTTTATGTCAAATCCTCACTTCCTGATTTTTCATATGGCACTTTAAAATGTAATTGTCTCCCCTTTTTCTCATAATCCTTCTAATCCTACTTCTAATCAGCAGTTTACTGGAATATTTCTAAAGCTTGTAAATACAACATTAAATGAAGAAAAGCACTTTAAAATATCCACCCAGTGCTCCAGTTGAGAGAAAAGTTTTGATTAACGCTACTGTACACAGACATGTTATAATATAGACTTTTATATTGCAATACAGTAAGCTTTAATACATCCATAATGTTGCTGCTGAAAGACTCGTTCATTTGAGCTTCTGGGATTATTCTAATTTGTTAATACTTCTACACTTTTAAGTTAGCTTTTTATGTACAATGATTCAAGTGTAAGGAGAATAATGTCATCTTATTGTACCTAGTTACTCCCATAATTCAAGCAAAGCATCATGGGGCCTTGGAGAAAGGTGGATTGCAGTGTTTCCCAACCTTGTTCCTGTTCCTATACCCTAATGCAGTGCACTATTTGAGGGGTAAGCCATTTGCAGTGATGTCTGAAACCATAGGAACAAGGTTGGGAAACACTAGTCTATTGCCACACACTTGCTGAGATAACACATTGCACATCAGTACTTCTACCACATGTGACCAAAACAAGGAAATAAAAACAATCACCTCTGAACTTGCTGACTTGAAACATTAGAACCCTTGAATAAGGCCAGACCCCTCAGAGTGCCTGCATAAGCATGGTGTTGCATTGGCCATAAAAACAGCCATCAAACCCACTTTCACTGATAAACATTTAGGCTTTTTTTTTTTTTGAGAATCACTTTTCTGGGATTATGCAACAAAACGAAACACTGAAGAAAAGAGTGTTCTACATGAATGGAACATGGGACACACCTTAACAAATTGGATTTAAGGGCAATACATGTAATCACTATTATATATATATGTGTGTGCTTTTAGTAAAAGAATAGCCCACGTTTATAGTAAAATATTTGATGAAATTATAGCAAGTAAAATACATTAGGCACCAAATAATTTACAGTGAGAACTGGAAAAGTTTGTTCCTAGAAGTCACTGTGACAACTGTCAGTCCACAACATATTGATTTACTATTGATCACTTTTAACTTAAAACCTCCAATATATGCAGGTCTGGAAGCATCCGCAGTAGCTGCTGTGTAACAGTGGTCAAAGTCTCTCTCTAGTGGTGAGAAGGCAAAAGCATGTTTCCTAGGTTGGGGATGAGTGAGGCTCTGCTGTAAGGGCAGGTAATCCTACGGTTAAACGTTCAAACCTTGATCCAGTCGATGCAAATGAACTGTGCAGTCTCTCAGAAGGGAGGAGTGATTAGAAGTTGATCAGATCTATGAAAATCAAGTCTGATCTCAGATTTGATATCTGAAGAGTGCAGAACGTGAGGAAGTCAGTAACAACACTCTGACTGGAATTCGTCTTTGTCTTATTGTAGGATTATGAGCAGGCTAATATCACATGAGTAATAGCGCCATTTGTTTCCGAATATAAGCCTGATTGTAATTCAGCTCTAGTCTGAAAGCTCAATAAACATGTAGTTCTTATTGAGAAACTTACACTGTACAGTAGACCCAATATCAGTTATTCTGTCTTTTTTGCTTTTTATATATTTTATAGTAAAATATAATTTATTGGCAATACTAGTATTTCATTTCTGAATGAAGTTTTTTAAACAAATCGTTTGAGTGAATTATTCAATGATTTACAAAGTCACTTCTGGCATAACGATATAACCTACAGAAAATGTCACTGAAAAGTCAGTCTGGATTTCAGAAACACTGACAAACTGAGTAAGCCAATCAAGTTCGAGGACCAGCGTTATGACTTTAGCAGATGTAATAGACCATCGGCATGCTGTGTGAGTGTGTTTGACTCATTAAGTGACCAAACTGAGCGACTGGCCTCATGCATGCCATGGTTGTACTGCTAAGCTGAGACATCTGCTTGGATTAAACCTTTTCCATCTGCTTTCCTCCAGTTCACTGCCGAGCTACTAGGTCACTCAATACATGTCTGTGCCAATATTCGTTATCTGGTGGAGGAAACATGTCAACATATCTTATATGAATAACCACTAATCATTTCAAATTAATAGATGTGACCCTGGACCACAAAACCAGTCTCAAGTCGCTGGGGGATATTTGTAGCAATAGCCAAAAATACATTGTATCGGTCAAAATTATACCAAAAATCATTAGGATATTAAGTAAAGATCATGTTCCAGGAAGATATTTTGTAAATTTCCTACAGTAAATATATCAAAACTTAATTTTTGATTAGTAATATGCATTGCTAAGGACTTCATTTGGACAACGTTAAAGGCGATTTTCTCAATATTTTGATTTTTTTTGCACCCTCAGATTCCAGATTTTCAAATAGTTGTATCTCGGCCAAATCCTAACAAACCATACATCAATGGAAAGCATATTTATTCAGCTTTCAGATGGTTGAAAATTTTAAACTTAAGACTAGTTTTGTGTTGGTCCAGGGTCACATATAGACTCACACGTTTAGGAATTTTATTAATTTCTTTATTTACTATTTATTTAAACTTGTTAACATGGACATTTTAAACACTATGTCTAGGCCACTAATCAAATTGGTGACAATCAGCACATGAGCTCTTTGAACAAAAGGTCAGATTTCCGTGCTTGCATTGAAGCTCATGCTCTCAAATCATGCTGGATAACATGATCATGAGGTTTTTAAGTATAAATGGGGGATAAAGAAAATAAGCCTTGTACCAGATATCTCATCTTAGTCACATGCTCGTAATCTGTTTATGCAGCGCATGACCTGTCCTCCCCCTCTCTTCTGCCCTCCCATCCCGTCTGCCTTTCAGCTGATGATGCATGTGGCAGAATAGGCTTGGAGAGCATCGCTATAGCAACCGCAAACAGAAAGACACTTCAGAGCAATCTCAAAGAGGAAATGTGACCTGGGCCATTACACATCTACAAGCCCTATAAGACAACCGGATCACTGCTAAAGGTAAGGAGACTGAGAAAATGAGGAATTAATAATATGAGATAGCAAAAGAGAATGGGGGAGGAGTGGGTGGATGGATGGATGGAAGATAATATTGATAAAAACACAAGACTAACGAATTCAGCACGTTTTGAGATGTCATTCTTTGTATTTTGATCATCATTGGCAGTGATTTACAGTGATGCTAGTGGTAACAGGTGGACATTGAGCATATTACTTTTAGTTTTAGAAGCTTAAAATGTTCGTACAGCGTTCAAGCCACAAGTCTGTTTTTGATGGATCACATCATAAATTACTGCTTTGGTCAAATTCTCGGTAGCAATATGGCTATTGTATTCAAATTAATGTGCATTCTCTGAAATTTAACTGTTTGCACTTTCATTTTTATCTGGTCTTCCATTTGAGGCAGGTTTATGAATGGCATGGTTTTTTTTTAGTAACTCAAACAGCTTTGGTTACCATTGACTTTCATTGTATGGACAAACAAAACACTGAGACAATTCTCAAAATACCTTTTTTTTGTGTTCCACAAAAGAAAGAAAGTCATACAGGTTTGGAGTGACATGAGGGTGCGCAATTGGTGACAGAATTTTTGGGTGAACTATCCCTTTAACTGCTCTTAATTCCATAAGCTCATCATCACAGGACAGTGAACACAAATGCGCCATTCAAATTAGTATTTTTTTTAAAGAAATCGTAGTTCTTTAACAAAGTGGTTTTCACTGTAAGATTATTAGATTACATTTTACCAAAAAAAAAAAAAAATGTATTATTGTACTTCAAATTTCATATTTAATTCAATGTGTTACTTGCAGTTTCTTTGTAATTGTTTGTGAAATTCACTAGCAATATCTGAGTGAAATTTAAAAGAAAATAATACACCATTTTTTTTCTCTGCGCAATGGCATGGCTAAATACAACCAATAAGTTAGTGTGCATAGTTAGGATAGAAAACTAATTAGGCTAATTTTAGGCTGTGCATCAGTATTTTGGCACAAAATCACTCAGTAGAATTGAACCTAATTAGATACATGTGTGAAAAAATCACTAAGGTTACATATGTTATATTATATGTAGGAAAATATTCATCATAACAATTTTGCATATGTTAGATTGTAAAAATAAGTTAGATTGTGAACGCATGTTTACTTTTGTACAATAAACAGTTATGTACTGTGTTTGCTCACCACCTGATGTCTGGTAAAATCTGAGTCAGCGTCCTTCACAAATTCACATCAGAACAGATTCTGTGTTGGAAATGTGCAGAGTGCTCAGTGATGTCTGTCAGATGTTAAAGGAACACGCCACTATTTTTGAAAATAGGCTCATTTTCCAACTCCCCTAGAGTTAAACAGTTGAGTTTTACCGTTTTCGAATCCATTCAGCCGATCTCCGGGTCTGGCGTAGCACTTTTAGCTGTAGCTTAGCATAGATCATTGAATCTGATTAGACCGTTAGCATCTCGCTCAAAAATGACCGAAGAGTTTCTATATTTTTCCTATTTAAAACTTGACTCTTCTGTAGTTACATCGTGTACTAAGACCGACGGGGAAAAAAAAACGATATGGCTAGGAACTATACTCTCATTCCGGCGTCGGCGTACCATGGGTGCAGCAGGCACAATGATATTACACAGAGCTGCAAAGTTCCTTGATTATTACGCTGGAATGAGAATATAGTTCCTAGCCATATTGGCCTAGAAAATCGCAACTTTTCATTTTCCGTCGGTCTTAGTACACGATGTAACTACAGAAGAGTCAAGTTTTAAATAGGAAAAATATAGAAACTCTTCGGTCATTTTTGAGCGAGATGCTAACGGTCTAATCAGATTCAATGATCTATGCTAAGCTACAGCTAAAAGTGCTACGCCAGACCCGGAGATCGGCTGAATGGATTCGAAAACGGTAAAACTCAACTGTTTAACTCTAGAGGAGTTGGAAAATGAGCCTATTTTCAAAAATAGTGGAGTGTTTCTTTAAAGAGAGCATCTGTGCTCTGAGGATTAGGCTTGGTAACATTCAGCCCCAACAATGATATGATGTTGCAAATAAGAATAAAGGGATAGTGCACCCAAAAAATAAAAGAAAATTATTTTGTCATTTACTCGTGACAGTCGTTCCAAACCTGTAGGACTTTATTTCTTCTGTGAAACACAGTAAAAGATATTTTGAAGAGCACACTTAAAAATAAAGATTCTTTATTGGCATCTATGTTTCCATGAAGAACCTTTAACATCCCTGAAACATTTCCATTGCACAAAATGTTCTTTATAGTGGAAAAAGGTTCTTGAGATTATTAAAATGTTCTTTTAGGAACTGTTTACCAAAAATGGTTCTTCTATGGCATTTGTTGGTAACCAAACCATTTCGAGTTCCATTGGATCCATAGTACTGAAATACTATGGAAGTCTATAGGACCCAAAACTGCTGAAAGGTGAAAGCAGACCTCACCTTTAACCCTGGTAAATCACAGTACATTTTTACACTCACAAGCACTTTATGCCAAATTTCGAGGTTAAATGAAAAAGAAAAGGCATTAAATCTATTGTACACCCAACATTTGTTTAAATTGCTCTTTGTTTTGTGTGACCGTGATGGCTTTTACTGCACCAAATTTAAGGTGAGCAGCAGAGGGCCGGCGAAAGCGACAAGCATGTCGTGGTTTAGCTGGAACGAGCCGTACTATCGGAGCCCACGACGTGAGCCCACTGAAGTGGTTACGGACACACTGATGCTGGAGCTGAGCTGGCAGATGAAGGAGGCAGAGAGGCTGCAGCGGGAGCGAGACAATGAATATCGGCGGCTGAAGAGCGGCGTGGACTACAGCTGGCTCGTGAGCACCCCACGCAGCTCATTTGACATCAGTCAAGGAGAGAGACTCGGCCTTGAGGACCTGTGTAGCAAAGTACCACCATCATACTGCGGATCGGTAATACAAAGGTAAGACACATGGGTTAAAGGAGTGCGTTGGATGCTGCACACTGCACGTTTTGTTTTCGACATGAGGATGTTCATTATCACGGGTTCAAGGGAGGGCAATCTGGGTAATTAGTTTACTAAGCTGTCTTTGTGATGTCTGTACTAGGAAACGCACAAAGACAGCCATGTTTTTTTCTCTAGGTGAACTAAGCAGCTCTAACCTGCTGAAGTGATAATTGTAGGCCTCACGGGATGCGCACCTCACAGATTCAGATGAGCCCCAACTGACGCTGTTCATTTTTGATCAGGTTGCAACTGCATAGCAACTTTTTTTGTTCAGCCCCACTCATTATAACCATGACTTAATGGGATAGTTGACCCAAAAATTACATTTCTGTCATCATATACTTACCCTCATGTTGCAAAACTGCATGATTTTCTTTCTTCTGTGGAACGTAAAAGAAGATAATTTGAGAAATGTCTCAGTGTAGTCTTTTTTTACTATACAATGGCATTCAGTGGTAATGGTTTGGTAACCAATACCCTTTAACATATATTTGTTTTCTTCAAAAGAAAGAAAGTCATACATGTTTGTAATGACACGAGGGTGAGTAAATGATTACATACTTTACATTTTTGGGTGAACTTTCATTAATTACTCATTATTTACTTACATTCATGTTATTATAAACTATATGCTGTTATTTTTTATCCTGTGGACCACAAACAAAAACGTTAAAAAAATCACACAGATTTTTGCCCATTAAATAACAATTCAAAGCAATCGTGGGCTGTCAAGCATTTAAAAGAAAAAAGTATTATGAAAGCTGCATATCTTGTGTGCTATATTCCACGTCTTCCAATCAAATACAGTGTGTTTGCACGAGGAACAGTTCAAAATATAAGTCATTTCAGTCTGTTTTTCACAGGATTCATTTAGTTAACTAAAACTAAAACTAAAACCAAACCCTAAAACCAGATGGTTGGATGGATGGACGGACGGACGGACGGACGGACAGTGAAAAAAGTATTATGAAAGCTGCATATCTTGTGTGCTATATTCCACGTCTTCCAATCAAATACAGTGTGTTTGCACGAGGAACAGTTCAAAATATAAGTCATTTCAGTCTGTTTTTCACAGGATTCATTTAGTTAACTAAAACTAAAACTAAAACTAAAACCAAACCCTAAAACCAGATGGTTGGATGGATGGACGGACGGACGGACAGTCAGACAGACAGGCAGATTAATTAGAAATACAGAAAAAATTAAAATACACTAAAATAACTAAAACTAGACTCCTAAAAATCACATTAACACACACCAACATTACTAACATTTTAACTAAAATTGAAATTAATGAATATATATATATATATATATATATATATATAACCTGATTCAAAATATTAATAAAACTATATCAGTATCTCAGTGATACCAAAATAACACTGGTTCCTCAGAAAATTATTGTATGGCTTCAGTCGAATTGGAATATACTGCACAAATAATATTATCTATATTTATTGTGCTTTTTTGTACTTTTTGGAGTTTGTCTGCCTGTCTTTGATGTGTTTGTTTCACAGAAAAAAAAAGAAAAAAAAATTGTTTTATATATATATATATATATACAGGTATACTGCATACAGGTTTGGAACAACATGACATAATTTTCAAGTGAAATTCTTACACCCTTGTCAGGGAGAATCTTTTTTTGAAAGAAGAGAAGTAACATGATCTAGTCCTTCCCATGAGTACAGGTGAAAAAGTGAGTTTTGAGAGGATTGTATTGATTAAACAAAGGAGAAGGAAGATTAAGAAAACACTAATTCGTTGATTTAACTGGAAAGATAAGAACCTAGCTTGGAAACCTATTTTAAGACTACCTAAGAACATCTTAGTCTGTGGAGCAAGAGCGCACAGGTCCTGAGAGGCTGCTTTTACTCTGATGAGTCAAGTGCTTATGTTCTGCTCTCATAGGGACCACAGGCGACAGTTCACCTGGGAAGGAGTGGCTGATGTGTTTGCACTGTGTTAAATCTGCTTTAATGAGTGATTAAAACAGACACACAACTTTTGATTAATTTCTTAGTTTGAAAATGGCTGTTAAATGCTGTTTACTAGGTGTATCATGTTATAATATATTAGTAATCCTTTAGTTTTTCCTTGAGGTCCACTTAGCCTACACATGATAATGTTCCACACACTCTATAATGTTTACAATAAAAGATGCCGTGGTTAATTTTTGTCACTGTACTAAACATGTAAATGACCCCAATTATAATTGGCTAACTTTTTTTGCATGTGAAATGAGTAACAATACTTACTTATAGGCTTCTAACATTGGGATAATATGGATAAACTTTTCTGCCTTTTTATATGAAAAAAATAAGCAAATTAATTGCAACTTTATACTTTATCTTTCAATATCTCTTTAAATCTCACAAGTGTCACTTTGTTTCTTGTAGTTCTGACTATATCTCACAATGTGCCTTTATATCTATCAATGTGACTAAATCTGGCAACTGACTTTATTTCTTGTAATTGCGACTTTATACCTCACACTTGTGACTTTATCGTTTAATGTTACTTTAAATCTTGCAAACGTGACTTTTTCTCGTAATTCTAACTTTATATCTCACAATGTGCCTTTATATCATCCAGTTGTGACTTTATATTTCTCAGTGTCACTTTAAATCTTGCAGTTGTGACTTTTTTTTTCTTGTAATTGCAACTTTATATGTCACATTTGTGACTTTATCTTTCAGTGTGACTTTAAATCTCACAAGTGTGACTGTTTCTCGTAATTCTGGCTTTATTTCTCAAAATATGCCTTTATATCTTGCAGTTGTGACTTTATATCTTTCAATGTGGCGTTAAATCTCGCAAGGATGACTTTATTTCTTGTAATTGTGACTTTATATCTCTCAATGTGACTTGCAAATGCAAACTTATTTTTCTCAATGTGTTGTTAAAGCTGCAGTCCGTAACTTTTTTTGGTTAAAAATGATCCGAAATCAATATTTAAACAAGTACATAACCAGCCAGTGTTCAAAACTATCGCCTTACTTTTGCCCGATTCCCAACGGTCAGTTTATAATAATGTTTTCTAATTTGAGTGCGTCATTACGTCACGTTTGTAAACATAAAGAAGTTGTCCCGGCTAGTAGGCTATCGCATGTGAGGATCCTGCAGGTGGCCGATCGTTTATAACATTTTCTCACAGCAGCCAGAATAATTAAATGTATCATTTTGATGCTGGATTGTAATCCATAAAGGATTATGTGTTTAAGAAACACATGTGAATGAAATTAAATTATATTCCAGTTATAAATGTGCTTCTGATTACAAATAGCCTGGGCTTACAAAGATTTGTATTTTAAAGAAAACCAGTTCGAAGGGAGCATAATTTGCTTTTTGGGTTAAAATAATTTCTTAATATGAAATTTGAAGAGTATGACAATTAGATTAGACTGTGCAGAAATTGAAATCTACACGCTAATACACACCATACTCATAGTCACCAATGCTGATGTTGTTAACATTAATCATTTGAGAATAAAGTATAACAATAATAATCATTTGAATGGTTTGATGTGATATGAGCTAACCGATCTGTAGATTTAATCACCATTGGTAGCGAGATGTATGGTAATGCTTTTGTCCTCAGTTGGTCAGAACAAACGTGGCAGACTTGTTACTTACTTGTTCAGATGGCAATATATGGTGAAAATTCTTATTTGGGTCATATTCCAAGATGTAGGCTAGAATCTGTGATGGCGAAGGAAGTACAACCTCTGCTGGGCCTTTTTAGCAATGGAGTCAATGTGAGTGTCCCACTTCAGGTCCTGAGAGATTGTGGTGCCCAGGAACCTGAATGTCTTCACTGTCGTTACAGTGCTGTTCATGATGGTGAGTGGGGGGAGTGCAGGGGGGTTCCTCCTGAAGTCCACGGTCATCTCCACAGTTTTGAGCGTGTTGAGGTTGTTGAGACTGCACCAGACAGCCAGCTCTTTAACCTCCTGACTGTGAGCAGACTCGTCACCGTCCTGAATGAGGCAGATGAGTGTGGTGTCGTCTGCAAACTTCAGGAGCTTGACAGAGGGGTCTTTAGAGGTGCAGTCGTTGGTGTAGAGGGAGAAGAGCAGTGGGGAGAGGACGCAACCCTGAGGAGCTCCAGTGATGATCGTACGGGTGCTGGATGTGTATTTCAGTGGAAGCTGGTGATCCACTGACAGACGGAGGTGGGCACGGAGAGCTGAGTTAGTTTGGGCAGGAGGAGGTTTGGGATGATAGTGTTAAAGGCCAAGCTGAAGTCCACGAACAGGATCCTCACATAAGTCCCTGGTCTGTCTAGATGTTGCAGAACATAATGCAGTCCCATGTTGACTGCATCGTCCACAGACCTGTTTGTCTGTAGGCAAACTGAAGAGGATCCAGCAAGGGTCCAGTGATGTCCTTCAGGTGTACATATAGTACAAATAATGAATTAAACTTTTTCTATGACATATGATGCTTCTTTTACAAAAGTGTTATGCAAAACTCTCCACACTCTCACTTGTCTTCATAGGTTTCGGCAGGTGCTGATGGAGAATGAGCCTGAGCTGCAGGAGGTTTCTGGACTCTTCCGCTCTGTGCTTTTGGAAACACTTGAGCGTGTTCATGAGGAGCAGGAGGCTCAGCGTCTGACCCACCAGTGGAACAACAGACGCTCCATAAGCCTGTCGCTGATGAGCTTCAAGTCTCGCGTGCGGATCAACCCTTTCGGCAGCACCTTGGGACTGAAATCAAACAGTTATGGCTCGGAGGAAGATGGAGAGAATGTCAAGACTGTGTGTGGGGATGCTGAGAAGGGCTTTGGTCAGACAACAGAGAAAGTGCAGCGTGTGTGGAGCATGCCAGAGTTCCGACACAAGGGAATCAATGGGAAAGCTTGAGTGTCTGGGAGTGGGATTCAGCAGGATCTGGTCCAGTCAACGACTGTCTGATATTCCCAGCATCACCTTCACTTTCAGTGTATTTATATTTCCAGAAGAAATGAGTTATGTTGATGTTGGGAAATAAAACTCAAGTCTTATAAGCAAAGCACCATAAATCAATAAATCTGCTACAAGGACTATAGAGCAAAAAGCCACACTTTTCATTTTTGACTAAATGTGCATATATGCAGTAAATTCCTAAAACAGGAAACCATATATATTCCTGATCACTCAACATCGGTTTCATTGTGTATGACAAGTTATTCTGAAATAGTACAGCTGCCTAATGTATCTTGTGAACTTTAGAAAAAAAAAGGGTTTTAAAATGGACGTTCTGTTTTACAAAAATAATTCCAGCGCAGGCCAACTTTTGTAATATTGCCCCATTTTTCAAAATAGGTTGTGCTGTATTTGGTGTGGAAATGCTCAGATGCTTGTGATGTGCAAGTGTGTAAGTGATGACCTGTTGTGAAACATTTAAATGAATTTTATTTCATTACTTTGTCAATTGAGCTAGTCAGTGTAACTGTAGAATGTAAACGTATAAAATCAATTTCATTGTGCTGAAAAATAAAGATTTATGCACATATGCTTCTAGTGTTTGTGATTCTGCGACAGCGACATGGCATCCTATATTTTAATACAAATGCCTCAGCTATATGGTATCAAAACTTTCACAAATATTTTCAAGAATGTATCCTCAATACATGAATATAGGGAGAAGATATTGCAAAACGTTATGCTATTTTGCAGAGGTTCTGATGAATATTATAATATAGCCAACACCTGTTGACAGAAGAAATTGTATAAGGCTAGGCTGCAGATTAATATTATTCATGCAGTAACAGACCCTGTGCGAAACAAGCATACCTAAATACACTTCTCCAACTATCTAAATGATTTTGTTAACTGTTAAAAACCATGCCAACCAATTTCTAACAAATGTTTATGCATTTGGTATAAAAAAATAAATAAAGGGACACCAACTGGAAATTTATTTAACAGTATTGTTATCAGCACAGTCAAATGCACGTGACTCAAAAAAGCAGATCATGAGATTTTAACTACCTGCTAGCGGTGCCTCTGCATTTGGCTCAACAAAGTAAATACACAGATTAGCATGGGATAACAAGAAACAGCACTGGAACTACACGACTACAATGTTGTTTCAAATTTGAACTTTTTTTTATATATATATATATATACACAACCTTCTCCCTGGTAAACCAGCACAAACTGTTCATAAACGATTTAAATCTTTCTGAAAAAATCCTAAGAAATCTGGACTGATTCTGTTATGTACTTGAGGTTTGAATTTAAAAATGAGAATACAAGAATAATTATTTTTTACAATTTCAGTAACGTAACAATGTTACAGCCATGCTACAGTTCTCAGAAGGTAGAGTTAATTAGACATAAAATATAAGTATTTCAGGACACAGTCTGGATAAAAAAAAAAAAAAAAAAAGAGGACAACAACCATCCACATGGAGTTTATGGTAAGGAATTGTCAACGTATAACATCAGGCAACAACATTAATAGTTGAAAATGGTCTTTCCCTGAGTGGTGGTCAGGCGATGAAAAAAAAAAAAAAAAAAAAAAAAATGAAGTTTGTCTGTTTCTGCAGTTCCAGGTCTGGACTGAATCAGAAAGTGGAGTTTAAGAACTCCAGCAGTTCGGCTCGGTTTTTGTCCCTCTGTTTAAAAAAAAAGCAAGTTGATTAAAGATCTGTGCAAAACTGTTAACCTGACTATAGTTAATCTGGTTTACGTTCTAACACTATTTTCACCAGCCATCATACAAAGATAAAATCAGCAGAGGAAAATATCCATTCCACGCATTAATTTTAAAATCAAACGTATATCTTGTTTTTCTTTAGTGCATTTATGTGTTATCTGCGCAATGAAAAACTCACCTGCTTGTCCTTCTTAGATTTTTTCACTTTCATTTTGATCTTTTTCCCTGAAATCATACTGTATTTGCCTGATTTCTTCTTTTCCTTAAGATACTGGGGGTGACAGAAATTCTGTTATATCACTAAACTTTGCAATAATCACAGAGACCTTTAATCAAAATCAAACCCAAAGCAAAGAGACTATAGCACATTGCTCAAATGTGATGCCCACTATGAGGTTTTGAGTCGAGTTGAAAAAAGTACCTTTGAAATTTGAACAGGTCCAGAGCTGTCGTCTTGCCCTTTGTGTCCCCTTTCCTTCTTCCGCTTACGTGTCTTCTCTTTCTTTCCTTTCTATAATAATAGTCAAAACAGATAAGTGACAATTTATTCCAAACCAACATTTAATATATATATATATATAAACATTTTCTCTTGTGTTCCACAGACAAAAAGAACAATATACAGGTTTGTAACAATGAGGGTGAATAAATGACAGGATTTTTCTTTTTGTGTGAATTATCCCTTTATTCTTGCTTAATCTGACAACTCTGGACAACAGTACACACATTTACAGCGCCAACTGAAATGAAAAGAAAAAAAAAAGACCCCGGTACCTTTTTTCCAGGTCTCTCTTTCCTTTTCTTTGAAGACTTTCTTTGTTTTTTGCAAGAATCTAGCAGTGGAAGCACAAAACACATCTCTTATTCAGATCTGCTGCATCGACATAATCGATTCATCTCAATTTCTTCTTTCCTGTTAATGAAGTGTGTGAAGTAATGCAGTTTTACACCTACTAAAATTCTCCTTTCGGACCCTTGGGAGTGAAGCCGGACTTTTATTAAAGGCTGTTTTTTGTTATCTAACTTACCTGAGCTATCAGAGCTGGAGTTACTACGTGATGATGAACTGCTGGATGAAGTCCGTGAAGAAGAAGAAGAAGATGATGAGGAGGACGACGATGAAGAACTGGAAGATGAGGAGGACGATCTGCTTCGGCTTCTTGCTCGTTTCCGGTTTTCGTTTTCCCTTCCTGTCAATACATACACTGTATTTGTAAGCAAAATCATTTCAGAGTTAGTGATTCTGTTCTCCACATTTCCGTTCCTAACACAGATCAGTTGTCCAGAGCAGAGGTTCCCAACTCCATCCCTGCTGCTCTGCATATTTAGCATGTCTCTCTTATTTAACACACTTGATTCAGATCATCAGCTCGTTAGAAGAGAGCTCCACGCATGAACTGTGTTCCGTCTCTCACACTTCAATGCCCTTTGAATGGAACATATATACGCTCCCTTCGAACTGGAATCCTGTGATGTCCACTTCGCACGGCACTTTGGGGGCAGTCGTAGAGTGTCGGACTTGTAACCCAAAAGTCGGGGGTTCGAGTCTCGGATTGTAGGTGGGGTGAGTGAATTACAGCTCTCTCTTCCACCTTCAATACCACAACTGAGGTGAGACCCTTTAGCAAGGCACCGAACCCCCAACTGCTCCCCGGAGGCTGCAGAAAAAATGTGTTCACGATATGTGTGTGTGTTTTTGTTCACTACTCATTTGGATTGGTGAAATGCAGAGCACAAATTCAGAGTATGGGACACCATACTTGGCTACACTTTCACTTTGGGTGGAATAGAACAAAAGACTTCAGTGATAAGAGATGCACACAAAATGTGCAGAGCGGGGGTCTCGCGAGGCCTGGAACCGAGGAGCACTGCTCTAGAGAAACTCACCTCTGCTGTGAGAACTACGTCTGCTTTTTGTACTTGACTCACTTCTCTCCACGGTGTCCACTTTGGCAGACTAAAAAAAAACAAAAAACATAAAGCATAACAACTCAGCATCCAGATCTTTTCATAAACACGGACTGTGCTCTGTATGAGAATCACAGGCAAGAATAGGAAGCTCAAAAATGCTGTTAAGGTTAAGTCTGTACAGTCCTTCTAGTCAACTGCTCCTTTACTTCACAAACACGTTACACGTTATCAATATAAAACGTTTAGAAACAAAAGTTTTACCAAAGAATTACAGCTTAAGGTTTAACGAGAAGGCTTTTAATGTAAGCAGTTGAACACTTTACCATGTTTATATTAAATTGTCTTCAAAGCGTGGTCCTTCCGACCACAACAACAATCGGGGGAATCAGAAGAATAGCCAGATATGAATATAATCCGTGTTGAAAATAAGCTGCGTGGAATATAAAGGACTCTTTTTCATTTCTGCGATCGGTGCGTGTGGATTAATGAGATAAGCACCGCCGCCATCTTGTTTACGTCACACACAAACTATATCATCCGGGTACTGTTCAGCAGCGCAGGCGCGTAACCAACCCAAGCACAAATGGCTGCTGTTTTCTGCACATTGAATATTAAAGTTTCTGAGTATCATTATTCAGGTGTAAACTTGTTCAGGTCGTTTTTAAAGCAGTACGCAGACGGCGCCATCACACGATAGCTCAGTCATTCTTGAGAAGTGGGACAAAACAGGGTGCAACATTGACAAAATAAAACCTTGTACTCAGACAAATGAAACTACATTTATGTATCTTATATGTACTGAGCTACTGAGCTATGCTTTGATACAACCTCCCAACTTTTCTCTTTTTTTTTTTTAGCTTGGACTGTGTATTATAATTTCAGCTTTATCTTTAACAGCATTCAAGCTGTTTTTAACATATCAAAACACATTCTGGTGTTAGCAGACAGATTACACTTTCACACGTGACCAACAGTTCCACAACAAATATAAAATATCATAATGAAATATTATCAAAATATTCAACTGACGGAGTTGACACGTCTGACGGTGGTGACGAAAACCTGAATTTGTTATAATTGTAACTGTCAAATACATTGAATCAGTCAATTACCGTATTAAACACAACAGACAGTGAGTATGTTATTGTTTATAAAGCTTATATTCAAGAGTCACATTGAAGTATTTTGATATATCACTGGAACACTAAATCTTGAAGTGGTGACATCTGACGGTGTTGACAAATTTGGCATTTCTTTCACAAAACCGATGGAGTTCATGTAGTAGCCATTTTGTTTTGTTTCTGTTGATGCTAGATGCTAGATGCTAATGGAACCTGCTTCAGGAGAATACAATGATATTTCAAATAATTTCCTCAGAAATTGGAAGATGGTGTTGACATATCATGGCTGTGACAAAGGCAGGGTGCGAACTACGGGGGACCTCGGCTCCCCTTAATAAACATGGGCTCCCCTGAAAACGGGATTTGTGAACTGGGGGGGGGGTCTCAAAAAATATTGACAATGTGTGATTTTGACGTGCAATTTCAGTTTTGTGTAATGTGTTAATCGTGGATTATTATGTGTAAAATTGCAAAAATATCATTCATTCATGCATGACGGCGATTTAAACCTAACTCACTTCAGTAAAGATAACTATACATGCTATTCTTGTCATGAGCATCAAGGTGTGGGGGAGCGGCGGTGCAAATTCCACTCATGTTTAGTACATGCAACTCAAAGATTCGTAGTAAAAATATAAACGCTGGACTCTGTGTTAAGGTAAGGCATGTTATTCGCAATTATGTGTTGTGGCTGGGTTGCTATAGGTCTGCGTGACCCTCGATGTCTTAGGCCTAATTGAACGGAGGAATTATGGTATTCTTCTGTAGCCTGACGACGAGTAACTTTAACCATTGTTCATGTGAACTCAAAGACAGCCTGATGCTTTGTATATAAACTATTTGTGGGTGGCTGTTTGTTGTTTCACCTATCAATTCGTGTCAATGGGGTCAATCCTGTATAGTGATTTATCCTATATAGAGCTTGCATAAAGCACTGCCTCTTTTGAGGCAGGCACATGAACCATCCCCCCCGTTATAAAAAAAAAACAAGGGGGCTCCCCCAAAGTCCACGGTATAGTTCGAACACCGGACAAAGGAAATATTAACATTGGGATTTAAAATATTCTAAAACTAAAACTTAGCAGAGCCTGTCTGACACTGATGTACTCTGCGGAGGTGAACTGTGGCAAGGGGCTCCTTTAGAGTGCCCGGTGCCGCTGATATTTCCTGATTTGATTACATTTTATTGAATGTCTGACGGTGTTGACAAAAAGTGGGGAAGAAACTTTAAAATCTTATGAAACATGCATGTGTCATTAAAAAAACAACAACCTTGCTTTGATAGGAGATATTATTAAGTGTTGCTTTTGATAAAACAAGCTCTTTTTCATCATTACAAATTTTTTTTATCCATTTTATTGCATATGAATGCTCGAACCCTTCTCTGTGGACGCACTGTTTTAGACGTAGTGAGAGGACATTAAGAAACACAGATTTGGTATAATAATGAGAAAATTCAATTGAAGGTGATAATTGTGTTAAATACATTCTATTATTAATCCCTCATGACATTTAAGATCGAAAATATTTGTATTTTTTAAAGCTAATTGCAGTTACCCTTGCTGGACCTGTCTTGTCCCACGTCTCAAGAATGACTGAGCTGTTCATTTTCTAAGCGCTAAATACTGTATCATTAGGAACAGTTCCCGTTCCTGAACCTGGCAATACACCTATTGGTGAGATATGTTTCACTGTAAAAAAAAAAAAAGGTAGAAACTGTATAAAATAAGAGCTCTATTCCTTGAGAACATTGTCTCTCTAATGTTTAATGTCTCTCATTGTCTCACACCCCTCCTGCAGTTTCATTTTGGAACAGCCTTTTTGATAATTAAACTGGAAAAATATAGGCTATGGTCCATGCAGCAAAAGTTTGTTTTTCTTCTTCTTACAAATAAAGTAAAATTGATATCTTTTAAATTACTCCATAAAATCAGACGAAAAATCAGATTTTGACACAAAATGCGCCTTTTGTCAGAAGGACACTGAGACTCTTCTTCATTTGTTTTGGTCATGCAGTACTTCTCAGCTCTGGAAAGATGTTAGTTTGTTTATCTCAAATCTTATAAGATTTTTCAATTAATGCCAAATTTACAAAAACATTTTTTTGAGCGGATCCCAATGCCTGTTTTGCAGTAAACCTAATTCTGTTCTTAGATTCTGTATTCACAAATGTAAGTTTTCGAATTGTAAACCTGTTTTTGCAGTATTTTTTACAAGAGATAAAAAATGATTCCGCCTACTTACAATTTCAGTTTCACTTAACAAGAAAACACTCAGAACATGTACAATTTGCACAGCCTACACATTTTCTACTCTATTTAATGTTTAATTTGTGTTATATTTCTTTTATTATTTATTATGCTTCTATTTTGAACTATGGTACTGATTGTTTGTTTTCTGTCTTTCTTTCTATTGATGTTATTTTTGTACCATAACAGCAGATTTTGTTGTACCATAGTGCAAACGGAAGGTTCAAATAAAGCATTATGAAAAAAAAAAAAAGAATCTACTGTATAAACACAAATCTCATTTCTTTGAAAATTGGTTTAAAATTGTATTATTTTTGTGACTCAACTTTTCAATCAAAATGGTTCAATCTGAGTTCTTGGCTAAGCATGTAATTCCTGTTAGTCCAAAAGAGTTTGCATTGAGTTCTTATGCTTTTTAGAGGTCTCTCTTTTCCAATCTCTTGTCACTCAGTGGATCTATGTCAAACATTTGTAGGTAAACCGTTTTGTTTCAGGAGGAGTCTGTTTCTGTGCATTATGTAATCTCTTAAGTGATATTTCCTGGAAGCAAGTTTGGTCATTATTACCTCACAAACACCTGATAACTAACAAAATGAGAGAAAATACATTTAAGTTGATTCAAAGATTTTACCCAGTTAAGTGCTCTCTTAAAAGACTTAGAACGGTATTAAAACCAACTGTTCTTTCTGTTTAGAGAAGACTGAAATCTCTTTACATTTATTTTGGAACTGCTCTTACACAACAACATTTTGGTGTGACATTGATTTGATCAAATGTTATGTAAATCCTAATTTTGAATTTACTTATAGAAATGTAATTTTTGGTTTTCATGAATGCGAAAAGAAAAATGATACCTTCATAAACCTTATTTTCCTGTTAGCCAAATATCATATTCATAAATGTAAATTTTCTAAATGCAAACCTCTTTTTTTGAAAGTGTATTTTGAATCTATTGAGTTCTCTACTCTAAGCAATAAGAACAATGGCTTTGCTGAAGGACTTGGCACTTCCTCTAGACTGAAAGACCCTGGATTGTTATTGTTGTTGTTGTATTGTTATGATTTGACAATGATGACAATTGTTGTTATTGCTTTTCAAGCATTCAATAAAAAAGGTTTTACGTTGCATAGAAAAAAAAACAAGCGTGAGTTGCTGGTCACTTAATTCACATATATTTATCCTTTATTCATTAAAAAACATAGCTTATCATCATATACGCAGCAGTCACAAGAAGTCACATTTCAAGTCTATTTACTGAAACTCAAAAACCATAAGAAAAGAACATATTTTCTTTTCATTAAACAACATACAATATAATACAATAATTTAAATAATGAGCGTTTCAAAATATTGTTGCATATTACATATAGGGCCTAGGCCTATTTTATTAAATAGGCTAGTGATGCGACACATTTGCTGGTAATGCCGTAAATGAGTTCTATCTGTCGTGACACTCCCTCCTAAAAAAATTACATTTTATCAAGGTCAAATCTAGGCTAGGCTACATATGGTTCCCAGCGAAAGTATTGTTTAGTGTAGCCTAAAACATGTTTAAGATCAGCGAACAGGTTGTTGATTCATTAAACGATAAACTATTTCCTCCTCCTTTGACATACATTCAAAACAAACAAACAAACAAACAATAATTCATCAAAGTCGCAGCGTTAGCATTCGCCGTTACGCTTATTTTTATTTGTTAGGCTATTTATTTATTTTTGCAAACTTTAGAACAACATGCAAGGGAAATAACATATATACATTGCATAAAAACAAATACAATAATAAGCAAAAACAATCAAATAAATAAATAAATAAAACTATAGGGAAAGCAAAGAAAATCACATGCCCAGTAGGCTACAATAGTATTCAAATTATAGATTTAAGGCTTTCCACTGTGTTATTTCTTGTTTCTTTAGTGACCTATTTCTGTATTAAAATGAGTAATTAGTAAGTTTTTTTTTTCCACATTTACATTTGTGGATAAAGAATTTTCCGTATAATGAGTAAATTCACAACATACCATATTGTGAAGTCAACAGGCTATACTCATACAATAAATAAATAAATAAAACATCCTTTTCTTTGAGTTGTAATTCAATCTTTTAACCAAAAAGCCAAATCACACCAAAATAGTTTTGTATAAATATAATCATTCAATAAATGGACAATACTCTTATTTTCCTCTTTACAGAAAACACACTTCA